AGTTGCCAGCATTGAGCTCTCTTGGGCCCAGGTTTGTTACAGTGCCAGCAAAGTCCCTCAAACTTCTCTGAATGCTGCCCTTTTTTAGCCTTGAATCCTGATGACTGTACCAACCTTGGTACTTCTGTGCTGGACTTAACGTAGGATTTGAATTCAAGATCTCTGGCCATTGCATCCTGTATAGTAGATGAGTGTGCTTGCTTCACTTGTATCTTCAGCTGTGGACTGTCCAAGGCGTTTACAAACTGATCCCTCAGCAACAACTTAAGGACATCGGGTGGTGCAGTTGGGTAGGCCTTGTGTGCTATACTTTCCAAATTGTGTCAGCTCTTGCAGGCTCTCCTCTTTAGCATTGACTCTAGTACTAAACCTAGCCCTGTAGACTTTGGACTGATTTTGAGTTCCATACCTGATTTCTAGAGCAGCTACCAGTGCTCTATAGTTGTGCCTGTCGTCTGCTGACAAATGTCCAAGTATTTCCAGTAGTTGTCTCTTCAAGCTCATTGCCAGGTACACTGCTTTCTGCTCCTCTGTCCATCCATTCATTTCTGACAAGGAGCTCAAACTGTGCTCTATATGCTTCCCACGGTGCCTTCCCATCGAATTCCTATGGCTTCCTTCGCACTGGATCACTCCTATTACTGACATTCATATCTGGGATGTGACTTCTGGCAGGACTGAAGATGTCTGCATTAGGGTTTAGCTGTGGGGTCTGGAAGGGGCTTCCTGTTGTCTGGGGCTGATTAGGTCCATGGTTAGTATATCCTCCCTGTGTAAAAGACAGTATATCATCCTTTAATGTATTTAATTCACTTTGAAATTCACTAATCTTTTCGATTTGTACTTCTTGGTTTCTTTCTTGTTCCAGTTGCCACTGGTGCTGGTTTTCTTGCCACTGCTGTAGTCTCTCTTCTTGTTCATTTTCTTTGTCCTCCAACCACTGTTGTATTCTCTCTTCTTGTTTATTTTCTTTCTCCTCCAACAACTGCTGGAATATCTCTTCTTGTTTCTTTTCTTTTTCCTCCAACAACTGCTGTAATCTCGTTTATTTTGCTGTTCGAGCTGCCACTGCTGTTGTCTCTTTTCTTCTTTCTTTTGCTGTTCTTGTATTGCTGCCATCAAATCTGCTAAATCATAGTATGATTTGCTACTTCTCGTTTCCATCTTTTTTTTTCTCTATTCTACTCCGTGACACCAATTTATTTGTTGATTTTCCGGTATAAATTCTTTCCGAGGAACTTCAGCGATACAAGTCCCTTCTTG